TGAGTACTGCTAAGGAGTTACACACTAGGACGAAACGGCGGTCTAGTGATTTTATGTTTTCCATGGTGGTGTAGCTTCAATTGACTCACGAATTCAACTGTAAAATTACTAAAATCTGCACAAAACCCCTTCTGATAACTTTATTTTCGTTAAAAAAAGTTAGGAGTTATACAAACCCACTTAAATTAGAAAACTGCAACGTGTCGTTCAAAGAGATAGGTATCACTATACAGGTATATCCAGTTGATTAATCCTAAATAGGACAAAATCAGCGTTCGAGGTCCTATTATTGGCCGAAATCTAACTTCACTAAACCATAAACTGGCGTAATAGATGATCACAATCAAATGTTTAACAAAATCAATTTTCTTACACAAAGAAACGGTTATCCGAACATCATTTTCAGCCTTGTAATTTATGCTCAGTTTAAATGCCTTCATTATCTAATGATCTTATACAGTTAATTTGTATCATTTAATGTGTAATAGAAAATAACATTTATGATCTACACTTTTCGTAGAAGACAATCGTAAGCTATTAGTATTTGACCAAAGATGCCTCAGAAATATTGCTCGCATCTGCTGGGATCACCGGGTAAGTAATAGTGAGGTTAGACGTTGTGTATTAAGAAATGATGGTAAATCAGTTGAGTAGGTTATGAATCTTCATCGACTGAGATGGATGGGCCTCGTGGTACGTATGCCTGAACACCGAATACTACGATGCGCAATGCTGACTAGTGTTAAGGACGGTTGGAAGAATGTTAGGGGTGGCCAAACCAAAATGTGGTATCAGTCCACAAAGTCACTAACTTCTGGTTTGAGCCATATTAGTCAGTGCAGACTACTTGGTTAGGTTCGATGTCTGTTAGGATTGTGAATGTGTTCTGTTGAAAAGTTTCATACAACGATAATACATCTGTCCAATGCTTTTTGATTTCCCAATATTTAGATAAACAAATTCAGTTCTTGATTTAAAACTAAAAAAAAGTTATGTTAGATTGTAATTGATGTCTATCACAGATCATTATCTACTGGATTGTTAACGAAGAATAGAGAATAATGAAGAACTGTAATGTTTTGGTAAGAGATTTCTCAGACGTTTGTACAAACAGGCTCAATCGGGAATCATAATCAAAATTTTTAAAGTTTATCATTTTCACGTTTCCTTTAAAACATAATGTACGAATTCAATGTTTCTGCTTAAGCTAGTGTTCAGCTAGTCGCTTCTTTATTGAAATCATGAATCAATCTACGTTAGACCACTACTGCTGCTGCTGAGGAGTTCTCAAAATAGGATAAAACGATCATCCAGTGCTTCCATATTCTGAATAGTGGTTTAACATCAATCGGTTCATGGTTTCAATGAAATTCAAAAATCGCCACAACCTATTAATTGTTGTATGACAAGGTCTTTTCTAATTCCTTTTTTGGTATTAGTAATATGTCCCCTTTCATTTAAATATTTCACTGGTAACTGTTGTAACTGTATCACTAAGCGATGCTTTAATGTGTGGATCAATTTAAATATATGTCATATTATGTTCGATTTAAATCAATCAGTATTGTCTGTCTATCAATTAATTGATTTTTTATAAACACTACAATATTTACAATTGATTAATCACTGGGTGATTTTGCATGATGGTCTAGCTTCAATCGACTTATGATCTCAATCGTTAAAATCATTTAATATGCTATTCAAATATTCATAACTGAGATTTTAGTTGTCTTGTAGAAATATTTATTTTTGAGATGAGATTAAATTTACTTGAAATGAGAAGCGATGACCAGTGGAGCTAATTCGTGTCAGGTAGAGACAGGTAACTACTTCATTAAAATGGAGGATGATCGCACAATTTCATATATTGGTTGAGGTTAGACATTAACACCATTTAATGCCAGCAGGCTCAGTGATCTAGTGGTTGGGCGTTCGTGAGCGAGACTAATAGGTTCTCGGTTAGAATCTCGCGAGGTGGGATCATGGATTCACACTGTTCAGGAGCTCTATACTAGAACGAAACAGCCATCCAGTGTTTTCAGGTTTTCAACGGTGGTCTAACTTTAATTGGTTCATGATCTTAATCAAAAACTTCATAATCTTCACAACCCTATATTGATAATTAGTGTTTCAGTTATCGTGTTGTTACTGTTATTGAAAGAACCTTGATCGGCCTTTTTTGATTTAAGTACACCCTATGTCGATTGACTCAGTGTAGTGGTTACGCCACTAGTTACTTAGAATAGATCAATTGTAGTTAACAATGGAATCATAGATGTACATTTTGCTCTATCTAATGGTTGTACCTACATATTACATGAGAATCATATCCACTGAATAAGTTATTAGCTATTGGCATTTAATAACTCAATGGATAATGAAAGTGATGTTTGATGCAACAGGTATTGAATTCCATTCTTGTCATGAATATCAACACTAAAATGAAGATATATTTAGCTAACAAATTAAATTTAAAAAAAATCGGACAAAACATACGTCTTACATTTGTCTATTAACAATAATCCATCTATTCTAAATAATGTTTCTGAATTATTGTCAAGTTGAAATTCATTCAATTATTTTCAATGAAAGAAAAAAGAAAACTGATTAGGGAACAAAATGACTTTCGTTTACTTCATCCCCCCTCTTTCTTCCCCTCTCGTTCTCTCTCTCTCTCTCTCACACACACACACATTACCTAATGCTCCACCCCTTTTACTAGTTATACAGTTCACATGAATAGTTTCCTCTTCAAAATATTTTTCTTATGTAACTTGTATCACTCTAACATAACAATAAATGTAATGAGTGAGAGAGAGAGGGAGAGAGAAAAAAAAGTAACCAAATAAACATTAACATTGTATAATGAAAAAAAAAACACACAAAATAAATGAAACATTGAACATTATCGTTTCAGTTATTTTGTGTGTTTTTTTTTTAAAAAAATTCTTCTTTCAAACAAGATAATCATACTTATTTTTGTTCCTTTCTATAGTCAATCAAGTAATAACAAAGAAATTACTGAATATTCTTTAATTTCTGCATAGAGATATAGAATGTAATATAATTAATGCATTCAACTTTATTATGAAAATGAATATTTATTGATGTAATTCCTAACGTTCTAGTGAGAAGTAGTGACGAATGGAGTTCCTTAAGGTCTGTTGTCAAATAGTAACTTACTAATCAGAATGATGGACGTGTTGTTTAATTTCGTGGATTAATTGAAGATAGACATTAACAGCGTTGAAAGCTAGGCGAGTGGTCTAGAAGTTAAGTGTACGCACACGAGACTGATAGGTCCTGTGTTCAAATCTTGCGAAGCAGGATCGTGGATGCGCACTTTCTGAGGAGTTTTACAATAAAACGAATCGGCCGTCCAATGTTTTCAGGTTTTCCATGGTGATCTAGCTTCAATTGACTCACCACAGCAACTATTAAAAATTACTATAATATCCATTAAACCCCTCCTGATACTAATTTTTTTTGTTTTGAAAATCGTAATTATACAATTTTAAATGTATAAATAAATCACCTTGACTGGAATAACATGATATTGACTTGATTTATCGCACCAAGTATTCTTGCTATGTTCCTTTTTACTATTTAAAGGTGAGTTAATTTAACTTGTCTATTTATTCTTCGAAGAAGTGGCTTATACTCAGTTACGAAACATCAGAAAATCTAATTTTTCTACTCATTGGGATATCTACAAATATGTTATTTTATATTATTTATAATAATCTACCCAATGCTCAATTTGAATTACCATCATTGGAAACCTAGAAATACTAGGTGGCCATTTCATCATAGTATGGGACTATTCAGCAATCGAAACCACGGTCCTCCATCCTAAAATCAAAGTTACGACCTTTGATGTAGAGTTTTAATTTTAACCATTTTGAATTACATATTTATGGTGGTAGCTAAGATCATTTTGTGTTTCAAACTGTGAAAATTCTATAATCGACGCAAATCCCTATATAAATATATACATCATTTGAAAGAATATATGTTATAAACTAAATCATTTGACTGTTGTGACGAATAAGCTCTTCGTCTAGACAACAAATGTCTAAATCATGAATGAATCGATTACAAATGACAAGACTACATACCCAGTGAATAGGTAATTAACCAAAATTGTATGTTGGCAAATGAATAGCTATGTTATTTATGTCCAATCATAAGCATACACAAGTAAAGATCCCAAAACAACCAACACAGAATGAATATTCATTTTTGTTATTCATAAATCAGTTGATAAGGTTGTGAATCTCCATCGACTTACATGGTTGAGTCATGTGTTACATATACCTGAACACCGATTACCACGACGCGCAACGCAGATTAGTGTTGAGGATGATTGAAAGAAAGTTAGGGACGGCCAAATCAGCCAAAACGTGGCATCAGTGCTTGAAGACACTAACTTCTAGTCCTAGCCATGTTGGTAGATGCACATTACTTTGTTGGGGTCCGTGTGACTATAGTAACCAATGGTTAGAGACTGTGAATGACGTGTCTCAGAATCGATCATAAGAGTGTAGGTGTATACACTCTCTGTCTTCCTTTAAACTATGAAATTAAAATTGCTGAATATCTTTCAATCTACAAATTAATTCCTTCTTCCTGTACTTTATCCTTATACACAATCTTTCTTTTATATATTACTACCATTGAATTAACTACTTCTATGAATTTGGTGGATTACGAGTGCTGGTGTGCGGCCTATTCTCCTCCACGAAGAGTAACAGGCGTAAGTAGTAGTAGTATTAGTAGTAGTAGTAGTAGTAGTAGTAGTAGTAGTAGTAGTAGTAGTAGTATGAATTCGGTGTTGATCTTGTTGTGCTAATGAGGTACGGTAACTTGGACCGATGTATATGTGTGCCTGGTCCTACGTTGTAGCTGACTAATTGACTGAGTGACTTGAATGTTTTTCACATTAGATGCTTTTCGATGTTGAATTAGTTATAATAATGTCATTTCTCATTTATTTTTAGTAAGATCATTATTATCTGGCTAGAAAAAACCAATGGATTCTAATGAAGAGGAATATGGCACGACGTTTTTAAAATCCGATACAAACAAACCAAATGATAATACAGGTTATGAAATGAAAACAATAAATGAAGACAAAAAGAGAGAAACAACTAGAAGAAATAAATTATCTAAGGTAACTTTTAACAATGATAATTATATATTTTTGAAATAGACATCAGTTCCTTGCTCAGTGGTCTAGAGGTTAAGTGTTCACGTGAGGGGTCCAGGATTCGATTTGTGGTTGTGGGTTAGTGTATACACACTCCTAAGCAGTCCCCTATTGGGAGAAAAACATGCTTGTTCAATGCTTTCAGCTCTTTACTGGTTATTGAACTTAAATCAATTTATGTGTTTGATAGATGTATATAATTCGTTTGTATTAGTTATTTAACATCAATTGGAAAACCATTGAATCCAGGAAGTGTTGAGCATCTGTTGTGGTATATATTATCGACCGTACTGGTAATTTAGTCTACAAGGGTCAATAAGTCAAGGCAACAAAATTTCTTTGAAACGACTGAACTACGATCAATCATAAACATAAGCATTTAATCATAAGCTTAGAAATTCCTACCTGAAATGTTTAAGTTTATATACCATGTTAATATTAATGAAGAATTACTATTTTTAAGCTTAAGACTCTTGATCTTTCACACTTACACTTTTCTTGTCAAGGGATTTTTATCATCAGAAAGGGGTTTTCATAAGTCAATTGAAGCTATACCATCATGGAAAGCCTGGAAGCACTGGATGACTGTTTCATCCTAGTATGGGACTTTTCACCAGTGCGTATCTATCAAATCAATATTATTTTAGTTAAAGACCAAAGCTTCCGAATCTAGTTTTAACAAAACATTCTAATACTTATGATTGCGTTCTTTATTTCATTTTCCGCTACTATGGTAAAAGTAATATTATTATGATTAGTGCCTTTATTCAATATTATATTCTTGGTACACTATAGAATTCTCAGCATAAAGTATTTCAACAAATTTCTTTTTTAATCATTAAGATCATGAGTCAGTTGAAGCTAGACCATCATGGAAAACCTATAATCACTGGACGGCCGTTTCATCCTATTGTGGGACTCCTCTCTTATTTAGTGATCGATCCTTGGGATAAATATTGAGTGGTTGCCAGTTAAATGTTAATAGTTGGCGAATCGATATCTGATTAATGTATATTCTTTTCGATGCATATTACCAGCAACAACGATATCTCTGATTGAGCTCTTTTGTAATTTATACACCGAGATGTCGTAAACGTTTCACAAATACGCTTGAATAAGTTATGAGACTAATAGACATAGTGATGCGTTAAGACAAACAAACAAAGAAGAAAACAGATAATTTATTTAAATATTCAAATGTCATAGGAACAGGTAGCCCGGATATTCAAACAGTCCGCTTTATTGTGATCTTCATTTTATTTGCCGCCATTATGCTAAAATTCTGTTAACTAAGATTTCATTCAAACTAAACGAAATCTTATTTTGTTTTAATAATCAAAGATTCCATTTGTTTCCACCATTCAGTGTCCCCCCGCCACCTTTGCCGCCCACATAAATTGTTAATTTTCTTCCGACATCAAAATTGAATACCCTCTTATAAGGTGTATAGTAATTCTATATTACTAATTTAGTCAGTAAATTACATTGAAAAGAATGTAATTTAAACTATATTGGCTGAGTTAATCTCATTAATCAAACCAAGAAAAATACAGAGAAATGGTTTCTGTAAAATGTAATTGTTTCCTGATTTTAGTTTACTAACAAGGATGTGAAATAACTACTTATAATACTTAAGTATTATAGTTTTGATTAAATAAGTTGAATAAATGTAAATGAAGGAAATTAAATTAAGATCATGAACTGATTAATGTTAGAACATCATTGAAAACGTGGAAACACTGAACGGTCATTTCGTTCTATGGTGGAACTTCTCAGTAGTGCGTATTCACGATTCAAACTCAGGTTCTATTGACCTTATGCGCGAACGCTTAACCTCTATATCCCTGAGCTGGCCGGCATCCAACAGTCAATCAATCCATGAGGCTGTGAGACTGGAGGACCTGGGTTCGAATCCCACAAGCCAGATCATGGTTGTACACTTCTGAGGAGTCCGATAATAGGACAAAACAGCTATCAAGTGCTTCCAAGTTTTTATTGGTGATCTAACACTAATCATTTTATGATCTCAATCGAAATCTTAATAATCTCCACAACCCTATACTGGAAATTTAATACCTGTTCTTAATCTATCTTTATTGATCAAATGTAGAAATGTGAAATTTTAATTTTAATGATTTTCAATTACATAATGTGTATAGAATTGATTTATATTATGTTATGTAACAATTTTAATTAGTTTCAGAAAATGATCTCTAAACTATTTTTGTAATATGAGTGATAATTAAATTAAGTATTGAATGTTCAATTTATCCGAGGTATATTGATTAATTTAAACACATAAACATAGGTACAAATGGACAATCTAATTATATATTGAGGATATAGAATTTGTATGAGGACTTGGATCCTCAAATAGAAGTATGTGGTTTTCTTATGGAACCATTCTCAGAGCATTAGACCTAGAGATCTAATTTAGAAGTCATCGGTCCAAGTTGCAATACCTTATTAGCACAACAAGATCAACACTGGATTCATAGAAATAGTCACTTCAAAGGTAGTAATATACAAAAGAAAGATTATGTATAAGGATATAATACAGGAAGAAAGATTTAGTTTGTAGAAAGAAAGATATGAAGCAATTTTAATCTCATTGTTTAAGGGAAAACAGAGAGTGTATATACCTAAGTCATTGTGATCAATTCTGATCCATGTCACCCAGAGTCTCCAACCATTGGTTGCGATAGTCAAGCGAACCCTAATCAAGTTGTCTGCATCTACCAAGATGACTCAGATTAGAAGTTAGTGGCTTTGTGGACTGATGCCACATTTTGGTTTGACCACCCCTAACATTCTTCCAATCATTTTCAACACTAATCAGCATTGCACGTCGTGGTAATCACTGTTCAGGTATACGTAACACGTGACGCAACCATCTCAGTCGATGGAGATTCACAACCTCGTCAAATGAATTACTATCATTCCCTTAGACTGTGTATCTAACCTCATAATTACTTACTCGATGATCCCTATGTTGCAGCTAACTGAGTAGATCTTTTGTATACATCAACCTAGTTTCAGCTCCGAACATTCTCTTTCCGTCCTCTTAATGCTATATATATATATTATAACGAGAAAAATAGTCATATTGTTTACATAAAGCTGTAAAGATAAATTTTATAGTTATAATGAATATGTTATTCTATAAATATAATATATATATATAGCAAATATATTGATAAACAAATGAACACCTGAATATATTCTCACATGATAACGGGTACTGATATCGTTGAATTATTTCAATGAATAACAGTTAAAGATAATCATTGATTTTATGTATAGTTCACAAAAGTGAAATATTTCATATTGTATAATATTCAGTAAGAGAGAAGTAATTCTTGATATTTAAGTATGATTGTTATTTTGTTTTGGTAATATTATGGTATGGGTTACTTATATCTATATCAGTAGTATATAACAATGGTTAGGTATAGAATGTATTTTAGTAGAAAATCGATAAGGAAAGAATGGGAATGGAACACAATTGGTATGAAAATGAAGTCAAAGACAATTTCATGTCAAAATACATTCGATTGTCCTTAATCGTGTTCTGGTTCACTACAATATTACTGATATATTATTAGTAGTAATGAATTGTGAAATAATTGTTAATTGTTCGGCGGATCAAGACTGATTGAACTTGATGCAAATGAGAATTCAATACTGTTGATAAAGATTAGACAGATGATTTACAATCGATGAAGTCGTTTATTTTTCAATGTCTATTGTAGTTGTCTACAGTTAACTATTATATCTAAAACTTAAATGTTTGTTTTGTTGTGTATAACTTAAGCACTTGAACTCTTGAACACTCTGAGTCGCAAATTAAAGAACAGAATACCAGTGAAAAGAAATCTTATTCCGATCAACCGAATATAGTATAAAACACTCGGGGATTTATAACTTTTTTAGTAAAATTGGAATCATCATTACCATCATCCAATCCTCATGCAGTAATGATTTTTTAAGCGTTTGTCCAATTAAGAAGATATGTATTGAGATTACTGAATGTTCTTGCAAACGATAATTGAATAGAATGTCTTCGGCTTTTTCAGAGCTCCTCAGAGCTTACTTGATTTCACCGGAAGCCGTCCGGATATTAGTCGATGAATATAAAGGTATCTGATAAAGTGAATGACATTTTCAAACATTATGCTTTGCTTCAATAAGTCGACTATCAATTAAACTAGTGGAAAGTAAGAAAATTGTAGATATTGAGAACGTTTCTATTGTCAAGTTCAGATAGTAGAAACATTATCATAATGTAGTGAACGAGAACAAAATTGGGGATAACCAAATGTATTTGGATATCTTAGTAGAATCTGAGGATCATACAATATATACATCATTTGCAGAATGTTAATCAACTGTCTCAGACTTCATTATTGTTTCGTTTCCACACTAATCATTCCCTGTTGTCATTCTGTTTTCTTCGATCTTTTACACCTTCTGTGGTCAGATATTTCACTTTTGATTATTGATACATACTACTTATATCTGTGGATATCAGTAGCACACACCATAATAACTTCTTATCATTATTAAAAACACAAAATTTACTTTGATAAAGACACTTATATGTTTTTCTTAGTTAACAATAAGTTAGGTTAGTGTTTTATTCAATTTGATTATCTTATTAATGTGACACCTCAAAAAAAAGAAACTTAAGACTCTAACAAACATAATACAGGATCAAATTCACTTGGTATTATTTACTAGAATATTCCCATTTATGTTTAGGACAGCAACTGGTCAGTCTCTTATAGGCATATGTGCATACTGTGTGTATTGCCTCAATATAGCAGTCCTAAACATCAATGAGAGTATTCAAATAAACAATACCAAGTGAATTTAAACTTCAATCAATTACACATGCAAGTGTTTATTACGACTCAGTAGTTAAGTGAATAACATGATGGCGTTTGAAATGAACGGTACTGGGT